AGTAGGACACGTACCAGTCTCTAGGTAGACAGTAGGACAGTAGGACACGTACCAGTCTCTAGGTAGACAGTAGGACACGTTGAGTCTCTGGGCTTTAGAAAAGAATCCCAGAACCAGAGGATCTTTCATGCCTGTCACCTCACACAACGCTGATACCTCACTCAACTCCATCTAGAGGGAAGGACAGGGACAGAGATATATCAGTCACTCTTAGTATAGAGCTATGTTTAGTGTCCAGGGAAGGACAGGGACAGAGAGACATCAGTCACTCTTAGTATAGAGCTATGTTTAGTGTCCAGGGAAGGACAGGGACAGAGATATATCAGTCACTCTTAGTATAGAGCTATGTTTAGTGTCCAGGGAAGGACAGGGACAGAGATATATCAGTCACTCTTAGTATAGAGCTATGTTTAGTGTCCAGGGAAGGACAGGGACAGAGAGACATCAGTCACTCTTAGTATAGAGCTATAGAGTGTCCAGTGGATGATAGATACTTACATCCCAGAGCAGTGCATAATGTACACTAACATCAGCCTGAACTGTAGTATACTAACATCAGCCTGAACTGTAGTGTACTATCATCAGCTTGAACTGTAGTGTACTAACATCAGCCTGAACTGTAGTGTACTAACATCAGCCTGAACTGTAGTATACTAACATCAGCCTGAAACTAGTAGTATACTAACATCAGCCTGAACTGTAGTGTACTAACATCAGCCTGAACTGTAGTATACTAACATCAGCCTGAACTGTAGTATACTAACATCAGCCTGAACTGTAGTGTACTAACATCAGCCTGAACTGTAATATACTAACATCAGCCTGAACTGTAGTATACTAACATCAGCCTGAACTGTAGTGTACTAACATCAGCCTGAACTGTAGTATACTAACATCAGTCTGAACTGTAGTGTACTAACATCAGCCTGAACTGTAGTGTACTAACATCAGCCTGACTGTAGTGTACTAACATCCAGCCTGAACTGTAGTATACTAACATCAGCCTGAACGTAGTGTACTAACAATCAGCCTGACTGTAGTGTACTAACATCAGCCTGAACTGTAGTATACTGACACACCTAGTTACTAACATCAGCCTGAACTGTAGTATACTAACATCAGCCTGAACTGTAGTGTACTAACATCAGCCTGAACTGTAGTATACTAACATCAGTCTGAACTGTAGTGTACTAACATCAGCCTGAACTGTAGTGTACTAACATCAGCCTGAACTGTAGTGTACTAACATCAGCCTGAACTGTAGTATACTAACATCAGCCTGAACTGTAGTATACTAACATCAGCCTGAACTGTAGTATACTAACATCAGCCTGAACTGTAGTGTACTAACATCAGCCTGAACTGTAGTATACTAACATCAGTCTGAACTGTAGTGTACTAACATCAGCCTGAACTGTAGTATACTAACATCAGCCTGAACTGTAGTGTACTAAAATCAGCCTGAACTGTAGTGTACTAACATCAGCCTGAACTGTAGTGTACTAACATCAGCCTGAACTGTAGTGTACTAACATCAGCCTGAACTGTAGTGTACTAACATCAGCCTGAATTGTAGTACACTAACATCAGCCTGAACTGTAGTATACTAAAATCAGCCTGAACTGTAGTATACTAACATCAGCCTGAACTGTAGTATACTAACATCAGCCTGAACTGTAGTATACTAACATCAGTCTGAACTGTAGTATACTAACATCAGCCTGAACTGTAGTATACTAACATCAGCCTGAACTGTAGTATACTAACATCAGCCTGAACTGTAGTATACTAACATCAGCCTGAACTGTAGTATACTAACATCAGTCTGAACTGTAGTGTACTAACATCAGCCTGAACTGTAGTATACTAACATCAGCCTGAACTGTAGTATACTAACATCAGCCTGAACTGTAGTATACTAACATCAGTCTGAACTGTAGTGTACTAACATCAGCCTGAACTGTAGTATACTAACATCAGCCTGAACTGTAGTATACTAACATCAGTCTGAACTGTAGTATACTAACATCAGCCTGAACTGTAGTATACTAACATCAGCCTGAACTGTAGTATACTAACATCAGCCTGAACTGTAGTATACTAACATCAGCCTGAACTGTAGTGTACTAACATCAGCCTGAACTGTAGTATACTAACATCAGCCTGAACTGTAGTATACTAACATCAGCCTGAACTGTAGTATACTAACATCAGCCTGAACTGTAGTATACTAACATCAGTCTGAACTGTAGTATACTAACATCAGCCTGAACTGTAGTATACTAACATCAGTCTGAACTGTAGTATACTAACATCAGCCTGAACTGTAGTATACTAACATCAGCCTGAACTGTAGTATACTAACATCAGTCTGAACTGTAGTATCCTAACATCAGTCTGAACTGTAGTATACTAACATCAGCCTGAACTGTAGTATACTAACATCAGCCTGAACTGTAGTATACTAACATCAGCCTGAACTGTAGTGTACTAACATCAGCCTGAACTGTAGTATACTAACATCAGCCTGAACTGTAGTGTACTAACATCAGCCTGAACTGTAGTATACTAACATCAGTCTGAACTGTAGTGTACTAACATCAGCCTGAACTGTAGTATACTAACATCAGCCTGAACTGTAGTGTACTAACATCAGCCTGATCTGTAGTATACTAACATCAGCCTGAACTGTAGTGTACTAACATCAGCCTGAACTGTAGTGTACTAACATCAGCCTGAACTGTAGTGTACTAACATCAGCCTGAACTGTAGTGTACTAACATCAGCCTGAATTGTAGTACACTAACATCAGCCTGAACTGTAGTACACTAAAATCAGCCTGAACTGTAGTATACTAACATCAGCCTGAACTGTAGTATACTAACATCAGCCTGAACTGTAGTACTACATCACCTGAACGGTATTACTAACATCAGCCTGAACTGTAGTATCTAACATCATCTGAACTGAGTATCCTAACATCAGTCTGAACTGTAGTATACTAACATCAGTCTGAACTGTAGTACCTAACATCAGTCTGAACTGTAGTATACTAACATCAGCCTGAACTGTAGTATACTAACATCAGCCTGAACTGTAGTATACTAACATCAGCCTGAACTGTAGTATACTAACATCAGCCTGAACTGTAGTATACTAACATCAGCCTGAACTGTAGTATACTAACATCAGCCTGAACTGTAGTGTACTAACATCAGTCTGAACTGTAGTATACTAACATCAGCCTGAACTGTAGTGTACTAACATCAGCCTGAACTGTAGTATACTAACATCAGCCTGAACTGTAGTATCCTAACATCAGCCTGAACTGTAGTATACTAACATCAGCCTGAACTGTAGTATACTAACATCAGCCTGAACTGTAGTATACTAACATCAGCCTGAACTGTAGTGTACTAACATCAGCCTGAACTGTAGTATACTAACATCAGTGTGAGCTGTGAAGGTCACGGTGACGTCCATCTTGGCGTTGGGTCCCAGAGTTCCAGAGGAGGGAGTGAAACTAGCCGAGCACAGAGGCGCCTGCTGGCCCTGGAGCTGACGGTGGGAGGGAGGAATGGGGGACAGAAGGAGGGGAGAAGAGAGAGGGGAGGAAGGGAGAGGGGAGGAGGGAGGAATGGGGGACAGAAGGAGGGGAGAAGAGAGAGGGGAGGAAGGGAGAGGGGAGGAGGGAGGAATGGGGGACAGAAGGAGGGGAGAAGAGAGGGGGAGGAAGGGAGAGGGGAGGAGGGAGGAATGGGGGACAGAAGGAGGGGAGAAGAGAGAGGGGAGGAAGGGAGAGGGGAGGAGGGAGGAATGGGGGACAGAAGGAGGGGAGAAAACATTACATTTACGTCATTTAGCAGACGCTCTTATCCAGAGCGACTTACAAATTGAAAAAGAGAGGGGAGGAAGGGAGAGGGGAGGAACACAGATGGAATAGATTAGATACTCTAGCAGCAACACTAGCAGATAACCTACCATGGGCCAGGTGTAGTGAACAGGTAGATAACCTACCATGGGCCAGGTGTAGTGAACAGGTAGATAACCTACCATGGTCCAGGTGTAGTGAACAGGTAGATAACCTACCATGGTCCAGGTGTAGTGAACAGGTAGATAACCTACCATGGTCCAGGTGTAGTGAACAGGTAGATAACCTACCATGGTCCAGGTGTAGTGAACAGGTAGATAACCTACCATGGTCCAGGTGTAGTGAACAGGTAGATAACCTACCATGGTCCAGGTGTAGTGAACAGGTAGATAACCTACCATGGGCCAGGTGTAGTGAACAGGTAGATAACCTACCATGGTCCAGGTGTAGTGAACAGGTAGATAACCTACCATGGTCCAGGTGTAGTGAACAGGTAGATAACCTACCATGGTCCAGGTGTAGTGAACAGGTAGATAACCTACCATGGGCCAGGTGTAGTGAACAGGTAGATAACCTACCATGGTCCAGGTGTAGTGAACAGGTAGATAACCTACCATGGTCCAGGTGTAGTGAACAGGTAGATAACCTACCATGGTCCAGGTGTAGTGAACAGGTAGATAACCTACCATGGGCCAGGTGTAGTGAGCAGGTAGATAACCTACCATGGTCCAGGTTTAGTGAACAGGTAGATAACCTACCATGGTCCAGGTGTAGTGAACAGGTAGATAACCTACCATGGGCCAGGTGTAGTGAACAGGTAGATAACCTACCATGGGCCAGGTTTAGTGAACAGGTAGATAACCTACCATGGGCCTGGGTAGTGAACAGGTAGATAACCTACCATGGGCCAGGTGTAGTGAACAGGTAGATAACCTACCATGGTCCAGGTGTAGTGAACAGGTAGATAACCTACCATGGGCCAGGTTTAGTGAACAGGTAGATAACCTACCATGGTCCAGGTGTAGTGAACAGGTAGATAACCTACCATGGTCCAGGTGTAGTGAACAGGTAGATAACCTACCATGGTCCAGGTGTAGTGAACAGGTAGATAACCTACCATGGGCCAGGTTTAGTGAACAGGTAGATAACCTACCATGGGCCAGGTGTAGTGAGCAGGTAGATAACCTACCATGGTCCAGGTGTAGTGAACAGGTAGATAACCTACCATGGTCCAGGTGTAGTGAACAGGTAGATAACCTACCATGGTCCAGGTGTAGTGAACAGGTAGATAACCTACCATGGTCCAGGTGTAGTGAACAGGTAGATAACCTACCATGGTCCAGGTGTAGTGAACAGGTAGATAACCTACCATGGTCCAGGTGTAGTGAACAGGTAGATAACCTACCATGGGCCAGGTGTAGTGAACAGGTAGATAACCTACCATGGGCCTGGGTAGTGAACAGGTAGATAACCTACCATGGTCCAGGTGTAGTGAACAGGTAGATAACCTACCATGGTCCAGGTGTAGTGAACAGGTAGATAACCTACCATGGGCCAGGTGTAGTGAACAGGTAGATAACCTACCATGGTCCAGGTGTAGTGAACAGGTAGATAACCTACCATGGGCCAGGTGTGGTGAACAGGTAGATAACCTACCATGGGCCAGGTGTCGTGAACGGTAGATAACCTACCATGGGCCAGGTGTAGTGAGCAGGTAATAACCTACCATGGGCCAGGTGTAGTGAGGCAGGTAGATAACCTACCATGTTCCAGGTGTAGTGAACAGGTAGATAACCTACCATGGTCCAGGTTTAGTGAACAGGTAGATAACCTACCATGGGCCAGGTTTAGTGAACAGGTAGATAACCTACCATGGTCCAGGTGTAGTGAACAGGTAGATAACCTACCATGTTCCAGGTGTAGTGAGCAGGTAGATAACCTACCATGGTCCAGGTGTAGTGAACAGGTAGATAACCTACCATGGGCCAGGTGTAGTGAACAGGTAGATAACCTACCATGGGCCAGGTGTAGTGAACAGGTAGATAACCTACCATGGTCCAGGTGTAGTGAAACAGGTAGATAACCTACCATGGTCCAGGTGTATGAACAGGTAGTATAAACCTACCATGGGCAGGTGTAGTGAACAGGTAGATAACCTACCATGGGCCAGGTGTAGTGAACAGGTAGATAACCTACCATGGTCCAGGTGTAGTGAACAGGTAGATAACCTACCATGGCCAGGTTTAGTGAACAGGTAGATAACCTACCATGGTCCAGGTGTAGTGAACAGGTAGATAACCTACCATGGTCCAGGTGTAGTGAACAGGTAGATAAACCTACCATGGTCCAGGTGTAGTGAACAGGTAGATAACCTACCATGGTCCAGGTGTAGTGAACAGGTAGATAACCTACCATGGTCCAGGTGTAGTGAACAGGTAGATAACCTACCATGGTCCAGGTGTAGTGAACAGGTAGATAACCTACCATGGTCCAGGTGTAGTGAACAGGTAGATAACCTACCATGGGCCAGGTGTAGTGACAGGTAGATAACCTACCATGGTCCAGGTGTAGTGAACAGGTAGATAACCTACCATGGTCCAGGTGTAGTGAACAGGTAGATAACCTACCATGGTCCAGGTGTAGTGAACAGGTAGATAACCTACCATGGTCCAGGTGTAGTGAACAGGTAGATAACCTACCATGGTCCAGGTGTAGTGAACAGGTAGATAACCTACCATGGCCAGGTGTAGTGAACAGGTAGATAACCTACCAGGTCCAGGTGTAGTGAACAGGTAGATAACCTACCATGGTCCAGGTGTAGTTGAACAGGTAGATAAACCTACCATGGGCCAGGTGTAGTGAACAGGTAGATAACCTACCATGGGCAGGTGTAGTGAACAGGTAGATAACTACCATGGGCCAGGGTTTAGTGAACAGGTAGATAACCTACCATGGGCAGGTGTAAGTGAAACAGGTAGCTAACCTACCATGGTCCAGGTGTCAGTGAAACAGGTAGATAACCTACCATGGTCCAGGTGTGTGAACAGGTAGATAACCTACCCATGGTCCAGGTGTAGTGAACAGGTAGATAACCTCACCATGGGCCAGGTGTAGTGAACAGGTAGATAAACCTACCATGGTCCAGGTGTAGTGAACAGGTAAATAACCTACATGGTCCAGGTGTAGTGAACAGGTAGATAACTACATGGGCCAGGTGTCGTGAACAGGTAGATAACCTACCATGGGCCAGGTGTAGTGAAACAGGTAAATAACCTACCATGGTCAAGGTGTAGTGAGCCGTAGATAACCTACATGGTCCCGGTTGTAGTGAACAGGTAGATAACCTACCATGGGCCAGGTGTAGTGAACAGGTAGATAACCTACCATGGGCCAGGTGTAGTGAACAGGTAGATAACCTACCATGGGCCAGGTGTAGTGAACAGGTAAATAACCTACCATGGTCCAGGTGTATTGAGCAGGCAGCAGGGTCTGGTTGATCAGGGTGATGATTCCCAGGGCAGGAACTCCCACATAGAGCTCAGAGAATACTAGATCACAGGTCAACAGACACACTTGAGGAGAGTGGACATCTGCCTGCACCGACAGGTGACTGTGGAGGGGGGCAGACAGGTACAGAACACAGTTACAGGTGACTGTGGAGGGGGACAGACAGGTACAGAACACAGTTACAGGTGACTGGAGACAGGATGAGTACAGTTACAGGTGACTGGAGACAGGACCAGTACAGATACAGTTGACTGGAGACAGGACCAGTACATATACAGTTGACTGGAGACAGGACAAGTACAGTTACAGGTGACTGGAGACAGGAGCAGTACAGTTACAGGTGACTGGAGACAGGAGCAGTACAGTTACAGGTGACTGGAGACAGTACGAGTACAGATACAGGTGACTGGAGACAGGACAAGTACAGTTACAGGTGACTGGAGACAGTACGAGTACAGATACAGGTGACTGGAGACAGGACAAGTACAGATACAGGTGACTGGAGACAGGGACAGTACAGTTACAGGTGACTGGAGACAGGACAGTTACAGGTGACTGCAGACAGGACCAGTACAGTTACAGGTGACTGGAGACAGGACAGTTACAGGTGACTGCAGACAGGACCAGTACAGTTACAGGTGACTGGAGACAGGACCAGTACAGTTACAGGTGACTGGAGACAGGACCAGGACAGTTACAGGTGACTGGAGACAGGACCAGTACAGTTACAGGTGACTGGAAACAGGGACAGTAAAGTTACAGGTGATTGGAGACAGGACCAGCACAGTAAAAAGAGGCAGGACCATTACAATTACAGGTGACTGGAGACAGGACAGTTACAAGTGACTGCAGACAGGACCAGTACAGTTACAAGTGACTCGAGGAAGGACCAGTGCAGTTACAGGTGACTGGAGACAGGACCAGTACAGTTACAGGTGACTGGAGACAGGAAGTAACAGGTGACTGGAGACAGGACTATTAGAGTTACAGGTGACTGGAGACAGGACCAGTACAGTTACATGTGACTGGAGACAGGACCAGGACAGTTACAGGTGACTGCAGACAGGACCAGGACAGTTACAGGTGACTGGATACAGGACCAGTACAGTTACAGGTGACTGGAGACAAGACAGTTACAGGTGACTGGAAACAGGGACAGTTACAGGTGATTGGAGACAGGACCAGCACAGTAAAAAGAGGCAGGACCATTACAGTTACAGGTGACTGGAGACAGGACCAGGACAGTTACAGTTGACTGGAGACAGGACCAGTACAGTTACAGGTGACTGGAGACAAGACAGTTACAGGTGACTGGAGACAGGGACAGTAAAGTTACAGGTGATTGGAGACATGACCAGCACAGTACAAAGAGGCAGGACCATTACAGTTACAGGTGACTGGAGACAGGACCAGGACAGTTACAGGTGACTGGAGACAGGACTATTAGAGTTACAGGTGACTGGAGACAGGACCAGTACAGTTACAGGTCACTGGAGACAGGACCAGTACAGTTACAGGTGATTGGAGACAGGACAGTTACAGGTGACTGGAGACAAGACAGTTACAGGTGACTGGAGACAGGACCAGTACAGTTACAGGTGACTGGAGACAAGACAGTTACAGGTGACTGGAGACAAGACAGTTACAGGTGCCTGGAGACAAGACAGTTACAGGTGACTGGAGACAAGACAGTTACAGGTGACTGGAGACAGGACCAGTACAGTTACAGGTGACTGGAGACAAGACAGTTACAGGTGACTGGAGACAAGACAGTTACAGATGACTGGAGACAGGGACAGTAAAGTTACAGGTGATTGGAGACAGCACCAGCACAGTAAAAAGAAGCAGGACCATTACAGTTACAGGTGACTGGAGACATGACAGTTACAGGTGACTGTAGACAGGACAGTTACAGGTAACTGGAGACAGGACAAGGACAGTTACAGGTGACTGGAGAGAGGACAGTTACAGGTGACTGGAGACAGGACCAGTACAGTTACAGGTGACTGGAGGCAGTACCAGTACAGTTACAGGTGACTGTAGACAGGACAGTTACAGGTAACTGGAGAGAGGACAGTTACAGGTGACTGTAGACAGGACAAGGACAGTTACAGGTGACTGGAGACAGGACAGTTACAGGTAACTGGAGAGAGGACAGTTACAGGTGACTGCAGACAGGACCAGTACAGTTACAGGTGACTGGAGACAGGACCAGTACAGTTACAGGTGACTGGAGACATGACAGGTATTGGTGACTGTGGGCAGGACAGTTACAGGTAACTGGAGACAGGACCAGTACAGTTACATGTGACTGGAGACAGGGCCAGTAGATTTTCAGGTGACTGGAGACAGGACCAGTACAGTTACAGGTGACTGGAGACAGGACCAGTACAGTTACAGGTGACTGGAGACAGGACCAGGACAGTTACAGGTGACTGGAGACAGGACCAGTAGATTTTCAGGTGACTGGAGACAGGACCAGTACAGTTACATGTGACTGGAGACAGGGCCAGTAGATTTTCAGGTGACTGGAGACAGGACCAGGACAGTTACAGGAGACTGGCGACAGGACGAGTACAGATAAAGATGACTGAATATAGGACCAGGAGAGTTACAGGTGACTGGAGACAGGACCAGGACAGTAAAAGATGACTGAATATAGGACCAGGAGAGTTACAGGTGACTGCAGACAGGACAGTTACAGGTGACTGGAGACAGGACAAGTACAGTTACAGGTGACTTGAGACAGGACAGTTACAGGTGACTGGAGACAGGATGAGTACAGTTACAGGTGACTGGAGACAGGACGAGTACAGTTACAGGTGACTGGAGACAGGACAGTTACAGGTGACTGGAGACAGGACCAGTACAGTTACAGGTGACTGGAGACAGGACAGTTACAGGTGACTGGAGACAGGACCATTACAGGTACAGGTGACTAAAGACAGGACCAGGACAGTTACAGGTGACTAAAGACAGGACCAGGACAGTTACAGGTGACTAAAGACAGGACCAGGACAGTTACAGGTGACTGGAGACAGGACAAAGACAGTTACAGGTGACTGGAGACAGGACCAGTACAGTTACAGGTGACTAAAGACAGGACCAGGACAATTACAGGTGACTAAAGACAGGACCAAGACAGTTACAGGTGACTGGAGACAGGACCAGGACAGTTACAGGTGACTGGAGACAGGACAAAGACAGTTACAGGTGACTGGAGACAGGACCAGGACAGTTACAGGTGACTGGAGACAGGACCAGGACAGTTACAGGTGACTGGAGACAGGACCAGGACAGTTACAGCTGACTGGCGATAGGACCAGTACAGTTACAGGTGACTGATACACAGATCTAGATCGTGCTAGTTAATAAATTGATTTCCTACAGATACAATTAGTGCTAAAGGTACAGGTGAAATCCTCACCATCCTTGGCCATTCTCCACAGCCAGCTCCAGCACTGTGGCAAAGTGTTGACAGGACAGGGGTCTGAAGAGGATGTCTACACTGCAGGAGCCAAGAGGGGGCAGCACTCCCCTACACGGCTCCACTGTGATCTATCAACACAGGGGAAGAAGACGGACAGCAACAGAGGACAACAATGGGACTATCAGGTCTCAGTACAAACAGACAGACTGCTGTAAAACACTGTTACCAGGGCGACCAGAGGCAATACTTCAATATTACAGTATGTGTGATATTTCAGTGTTGTTCTTGACCTTACCTTTACTTTAGTATGTGGTAAACTGATTGATCACTTGTTAGTGTGTTTACCTGTGTGTGGTTGCTGTCTGCCCTCTCTGACTCCCCAGGCCCCAGGTCCCAGAGGGCCTCTAGCTGGGTGCTGTTGGTGAGGGCAACGGTGACCTGGGTCTGGTCCCCTAGTCGCATCAGACCCAGGTCGAGA